AGTGGTAGTGGTAGTGGTAGCGATAGTGGTAGTGGTAGTGGTGGTAGTAGTGTCAGTGCTCTGCCTGAGCGAAAATGGCTGCAGCACACGCACGATGTGAAGAACATCTGGCAACAGAAGGCAAAAGAACTTGCCATAAGCACCGCGACAAGGTGGTCATGTTGGCACAGCGTGCTGGCGTTACTTGACGGTAGGACCGGTCATCTCTACCACTCAAACTTGGATTTGCGCTAAAGGCAACGAAGTCCCTGTAAGATTTACGTTATAGCCAAAGAAACCCCGAATGGAGGCCTTTCCGTCGGAAGCCAGTGCAACTGGCTTTTCGATGACCGGTTGTCGCCTGAGCTTCACCACTTGGTACTAGGGTTTCGGTAGTTGGCCAAATTAGAGTCGGTTTTGGGTCACCGGAAGAGTACTCCCAGAAGGGATCCTAATTGAGGGAAGTCCCGGTAAGTCTGCAAAGCCTCAAGGTGGAGGGGGGTTCCGGATGCTCAAGCACAAGAAGCCCTGCCAGTGCAAGTCAAAACGCTGCAAGATAAGCTCTCGATGTAGGGAGCAGAGACATTTTGGCAACACGTACCGTGAAGATGACGACACCAACGCCAACCGACGCAGAAGCACCACCACCACCATCAACGACAACAACAACAAGACGAGCTGCTGGAGCTGCATAGTCGAGTAACTTCCCAAACCCTGAACCCTAAGCTTCATTCACTAAACCTGCAGCTAACCCTAACCCTAAACGGCCCTAAACCTAAACACTTAAGCATCCCTAAACCCTAAACCCTTAAGCATCCCTAAACCCCCTGAAGTGATCTTCCCCGGGAGTTCTCCCAAAGTTCCCCGGGCCTCACTCCCGAGAACCAGCCGATGTCGGTGAGGTAGGAGACCTAGGAGCTACCCCGGATCCCAGGGCTTTTAGGGCTTGGGCTTTTTAGGGATTTTAGGGCTTTTAGGGTTTTTGGGGTTTTTCCCTCCCAGGGTTTAGTTTAGGGTTTAGGGTTTAGGGCTTTTAGGGTTTAGGGTACGGGTTAGGATGGGCTCTTCAAAGGTTCTTAAGGTTACACTATAAGTCTATAAGGCTGCGATGGCTGCTATAAACTTATGCCACAGTAAGGGATACTATACAAGCTACTACAAAAGTTACTATCAGGCTGTTTACCGTAGACCGCCCGGTATACAGACAAATACCTTCTTGCATGGTGTACAGGTCCCGGGGGTCATGCCTCACAGAGGGCTCATGCAGTAAAGAAGGCGTGACAAACATCTCAGTAGAAAGATGCGTGACGATATCCTCCGGGTTTCTTCCGGGACCGCATTGGGATTACAAGGGGTTCAGGGCAGAGTTTGGAGGTTTCGGGAGGGCTTGGGAACTTTGGGGTTTCGGGCTCTTCGGGTCCTATTGGTTCAAGGCTTAAGCAAGACAAGGGCCTTTAAAAAAGCTCGAGGTTCCGGGTGTTTCGAGGTTGGGAGACATGTCCAGACAGACAATGCCCATAGTGTGAACGTCCGAGCCATGCACCGTGATCAGCACTGGTAGCCAAGCCAGGGTCAACAGCGCCTGACACCGGAGGATCTCGGAGTGAAGGGCATAGCACTTCGGGTTTCCTCAGATTTATGGATACTGCGGCTTCGGCTAGAGGAGGATGACTGAAAGCTCCATGAATCTCAAGGCTCGAATCACCAGACCGACAAGGAAGGGTCGCGATGAAAATGATGAAACAAGCACAAGACGAATGACAAAGTGCAAGGGCACTCTCTGATAACCTCGCTAATAACCGTTGTAAGCTATAGTGAGGTTCTACCTGCAGTAGCAGTAATACCATCAGAGCCCTGGCAGCAAAACAAAAACAACCCCACGACCAAAAATCCGAACAAGCACCACGCCGTGTCTACACCATGGCAGCACATCAAACTACGCCTTGGGCCAACATCTGAAGTGCTCGCAACCTTGCAAGACCACGCAGGACCTCCCAGAGCTCCACGACATTTGGCGAGTTCACCTCTTGCAGTCGGGTTTTGGGGCGGAGAGGTGTGCGAGCCTACGCTGGACATGTAAGGTTTCAGGTCTTTGGGGCATCAGAGTTCGTGATGTGATCGGGTCTTGCGGTTTCGGGTTTGGCACATGGGCTGGCGTCGCTTTCGGATTTACAGTCGAAAGTACTTGCTGGCCTGTACAATCACGACCAGCCAGAGGTAGGCGAAGATGGAGAAGCCTGCTGTGACCCAGAAGACACCTGCAGTCGAGCATCATGCTTAAAAGGCATCAGCTAGCTCTTTTTCCAGACACGAAAAGTTGCCAGGAGCAGCAGTGATCCTCAATAATCCTGACATCGCCAGCGGCACCGTCACATTGACCGTAGTCTTCGCTTCATCCGCTTCTTTCTACGTCTTTGGCTCAGAACGAATACACAGCAAGACCCAAGGCTCCCAGCACAGCTGTGTTTTTTGTGCGAAACATGGCGATTCTGTACACATCCTCCGCAGATGAGCCTTCTCTGTACAGCCTCTCTGCGCGGCAAGGCGGCAAGTTGCTGTCCTGCTTCACTACCATGAGTTATGTCCCTGTGAAGCGAAACAGGCGGAATAAGATCAGCGTCAAGGCTTTCGCCTTGCGAACTCAGCACAGATCTGCGCTGTAGTAAACTTTCAAGACTTGGGACACACTAGCTCTACAAACGGCACATTCCTTCAGCTTCTGGCCACAGGTTTGGCAGGCAAAAATATGCCCACAAGGCACCATTACCACGTTCGCGGCTTTGTCCAGGCAAACTGCGCAGCGGGATAGGTCCGTGGTCGTGACCACGATGCTTTCCTGGACAGGCTCGGTTGCAGGTCCGGAGTCTTCCTGCAAATGCTTAGTGCCTTCATCGGCTGCCTGTGCCTCTGCCGGCTCCTCGAAACCAGGCACGCCCATGGTGTGGTAATGGCGCCAGAGTTCCTGCTTCGATGCGAAGGACTTCCCACATGTCTTCGCTTTGCACCGGTGCAATCCTGACTCTGGCAGAGCATCTGGGCCGCCGGGAAGTGAGAGCTGAAAGTGCGCCTCGTGGTGGCCCTCCACGAAGCGGTCCTTCCAGGCGACAGGAAGCATGTTGAAGGAGTTGTGTGGAGGTTCCGTTATCTGGCTTATCCAGTAGTTCGCCGGTCTTGCACTTGCGTTTCGCATCCGCTTCCTCTTCCTGGAGACACTCCGCTCCGAATGCGATGCACCAGCCCTCTCGAGACAGACCCTCCAAAATAAACATGCTGGCCTAGCTTGGAAGCTTAGCAAGTTTTAGGCGCAAGAAAGGTCCTTGTCGATCATCTTGCGCAAGTGGGCAAAGAGTGCCATCCGGCTTAGGAACTGTCGCTGGCAGTAGTAGCACAAAGTGCCATCCAAACGTCGCGAAGGGGGCAAAGTTGGGAAACCCTGGTGCTGGGCCTTCTCTGCCGCTCTCGCTCGGGCCAAGGCCATCTCACGCTCTCTCTTGCTGGAGCTCTTGGGCCCGGCTGCGGGTTGGGCAGTCTGTGCACCGATGAGCGCCAGCTGCTCAAGGGCAGCGGGGGGCAGCGCCGGACCCTCGGAGGCCGCGGGCGGCGCCGGGGCGGCTTTCCAGGAGGTGAGGTTGCTTTGGACGTACTCCAAGAAGACCTCCAACTGCTGCAAGGCGGCCTCCTCGTCTCCGCCGCGCTGCATTCCCAAGGCGGCCCAAAGATCCGACAAGGACCCCAAGCCACCTTCCCTCGCGGCCTCAACCAAGGCTGCCCGCTCTGCCTTGGGCAAGCTGCCAGCACAGCGACTGTACTTCTTGTCCATCTCTTGAACCGAGAGCTTGCCGGGACCAGCCTGGAAGAAGGCCAGGATGTAGCTGAGCCGTTCCAGCAGAGCGCGGTTCTGGGTGAAGAGGTGCTCAGCCCGCTGGCGGATGGGTGCCTTAGCACTCATCTTGGTGATGCTGAGCAAATGGACGAAGAGGCGCCGCACGAAGGCCTCGCGAAGGAGCGACCAGGGAACGGCACAGAGGGACGCACCCAGCAACAGTTCCTCAAGATCTGGCCACTCAGAATCGCTCTTTGGACAGAAGGGCTGCTGGATCCACTCAAGCACCGATTGATACAGGAGCTCGTAGCTCTTGCGGAACGTTGCCAGCAGTTTGATGGCAACCTGGTGCACTGCAAGATAGACCCGAACGGCTTTCTCCATGTGTGGCGCAAAGCCCCGGTCTCCTTGGAAGACATCCACGACGATTGCTCTTAAGATTCGCGGGATGGCCTTGCGGATGCAGACGGCAACCCGGGCCTCGTTCACCTGACCGTCGCGCAAGCGCAGGGCATCGTTCCTCCGATAGAAAAGAAGGCTGAGCTGAGACAGGATATTCCGTGGGAAGATTCGGGAACCATGTGACTCTTCGATGTAGAAACTGAGCCGGCTCGTGCACAAGCGTCGCTTGAATGATGCCTCGGCCCCTTCCCGAGTGACACCTGCATCGGCCTGCTGTGCAAAGTACTGGAAGTTCACAACATTGTACTGCCTGTCCATGTCAAGTACCCCACGGTCGGCCGCCGGAAGAACTGCTCTCGCTGCGTTTCCGCGCACACCATCGTTGTAGGCATCCATGTCAAACGAAGGGCCGATGATCACTTCCATAATACCCAGCTGGGGGTCGTCGCTGAGCTCCTCTGCATGCCCCTCCGTGTCAACCGCCTGCCTGTCTTGAGCTGTCTCAAAGAGGTCTTCCAGGTCTTCCAAGACTTTCTGCATCTTACCATGGTTGCTTGAAGCGGTGCTCATCATGTGGTAGACGAACCAATGGCGGCTCCTCTCTGGAATGGAGAGGTTCTCAAAGCTATCCACGCGGTTCACAGCGGCTCGCATCGTGGTCGCATCTGGCCTCGCCAAGACGGGCTCGCACCGCTCCCAAAGCCCGAAGAGATCGCTGCGGAGTTCCACGACCCCCGAGAAGTAGGACTCGTAGACACCGAACTTCTGAGCAAGCTCTAAGTCACCTTTCGGCTCCGTCTTCAGCTGCTCCAGCGCCCGTCCAACGTCCTTTCCGGACAAGAAGCTCTCCCCGTCCTCAGGCTTTGCATCTCCTTGAAGGCCCTCGAACATCTCTCTCTGCACAGCCGCAGATCGGCCTTTGAGGCTTGAGACCTCCATGCGCAGGCGCTGCAGCTGCTCGTCGCTGGCATCCGAAGACTCCGCTTGGAAGGGCAGATTCGCCAAGGGCGGCGGCTCGACAATAGGGTAGACCTCATAGTCACGCTCGAACTTCGTGCCGCTGTGGTCCATGGCTGCCTTCCTTTGGGTGTCATAGCGGCGGGCTTGCTCCTCCTCAAGGAAGAGGCGCTGCTTCTCCCTCTCAGAGCAGTAGCGTGGAGCGTGGTAGAGCGCCACACCCATCGTAGACACCACGTCGCTCCTTGCCCAGGCCTTCCCTGTAATAGGACATACCAACCAAGATGCTTGATACTCCCAACACTCCAACTCCTCGTCGCTGAGGGGCAGCTCACGACGTACCAAGCGTCCTGAGGATGGCTCCAAGCGCCACTTCCGGATCCGCTCTAAGGCGTCCTGGCTTATTTTGTGGCCCTCTGGCACCTGGCCTTTGGCCAGAATCGGGCCGGTGCCGGCGACCTCCTGTCGTTCCCGTGCACGCGCAAGTTTCTTCTGAGCCTCGACCTCGCTCAGCAGGGACTTTCTGAGGCCAAAGGGCAGTTCGAAGGGTGGAGCAGAGAGATCTTGATCCGTTATCTGGCACAGCACACGGCCTGTGACGGACTCCGTCCGGAACCGAGCACAGACTTCACTGTCGAGGCCCGCGGTCTCGAGGAAATCGCAAACTTGATCCACTGTCCAGAAGCTGATTGCCGGTCGGCTTCGAAGTCGGAATGCAACCGCCATGGCTCCTCGGTAGTGTGCTGTGCTCTTGGAATAGCGTTTTATAAGCCAAACAGCTGTGTTCCGTAAAGCTGCACGTCCACAAACCCACAAGCATGATCCCAAGGCGGCAGGCAACGGCGACCTGCCTAAATCTTTGATCTGCCGCTGCTCGCCCGCTGGCACCGCTACAACACAAACGGCCTGAGAAGCGAGCTGCTTTCCGCATATCCTATATTCGGCACCCGGAATGCTGAGGTTCAGCAATGAACATGGTCTGGTGTCGTCTAAGTCCCTAAGTGTCCGAAGTAGCAGAATGTAGCTGTTACGCTCTAGCATGGGCAGAGGAGTTGGCAACTGGTGCTTCGGTGGGATCTCCCTTAACAAGGTCCATCTTCCCAGGCAAGCCCAAGATGCAGCTTCATCCCCCCCCTGTATCTTAAGAACCTTAGAATCCGGCAGACACTGCTCCATGCCCACATGCTCTCATTAGTCTTGAGCACGGTACTTCTACAGTTCCATGTGGCACAGGCTGCGAATGCCAAGGCCAAGACCACGATGCAAAACAAGTTGAAGGCTGCGGAGCCTCGCTTGCGGCTGTCATCAAATCATCAAACAAGCATAGGGTATCAGGCTTTGGTTTCAGAACTTGAAACGCTCTGAAATGCAGACTAAAGCCTCAGGGGCCCTTGCCAACAATGGTGGAAGGCCCGAGCTCTCCAGCAAAGAAGCCATTCCTGGCAGATCCCGAGATGCCGGCGATGTCTATCAAGCCAGGGGCACTTGTGATGGATGCTTGGAGAGTGATGTTGTGGATATTGGCTTGGCCAGGAGGTGCGGGTAGAGAGCTCAGCTGATGCGTTCAGAATCTTGCGAATGTGACTAGCAAGATTCTTTGATCCAAGTCCCTATTGGTGGCAAAGCGATCTAAGCGTGGCGGCGTGGCCCCATGATCTCAACCACAGACAACAGAATTTCCGGCCTTGCGTGCGCACGAAGATGCAAAGTCACATTGATTAGGTCTGATTGATGCGAATGCCTGGAATTGAGATCGAGATCACGAAAACTTTCTCGAAGGGGCAGTGCCGAGAAGAATGGCCAGGCAGTGCACTCCACGAAGGCTCTGCGGGGTCCCGGCGCCGATGAGCCCAACGCCAGCAAGGTCAGGTTTGCCACTGTCCCATTCCAAACCTCACAAGCCGTTTCTGGGCTTCTAGGGAGACACTTGCACGTCTTTGCGCTTCGCGGAGCGTCAGAAGTCTTGCAGCCAAGGGGGCGCTAACTGTGATAACACGCCCTGTCGACCTTCGCACTCTGCAGTGGCTCACCAAACAGACTACTGGAGGCCGGCTGCAGGGCCTCTGCAGAACTCTGCGCTTGATGCTGGTAATGCCTTCAATGGCACTGACGAACTTGTCTGCTGCCTGGCAAAGTGGTGCGCTTGCGACGGTGCTCGTGTCATGATCTCGATGGACTCTCGACTCGCCTCGTTGCCGAAACTCTGTCTACATCCGGCGGATGCAGACTTTACACTTACAAGATCTTACAAGCATCATCTCAATCCGTGCCGGCCGAGCGATGTTCACGCCAAGGAAAATGTAGAGCATCGCAACCATGTAGACGGTTGCCCGCACCCATCCTGAGAAGTACGATATCCCGGCTGATCCCGAACCCCCAAACCCCTAAAGCCCTAAACCGAAAGTTCCAGAAGGCCGGTCTTCCTCTTTGCTGGGGCCCCCGCCGTCCCAGTTGGCCTCGCCATCTGTGAGTGGAAAGACGAAGCCATGGCCTCAGGCTACAGACAATGCTTACTCGGGTTTAGGCTTTAAGGCTCCTTCTGTTGCACGTGAAGCACTTCAGGGGAGGGAGAGGGAGAGGGAAAGGGAGAGAGAGGGAGAGAGAGACAGAGCTGTGCATGGATGGATACGCAAAACCATATAACCCTATGTATGTATGTATGTACGTATGTATGCACGTACATGAACAACGATCCTGTAATTTTGACACTACTACTACTACTACTACTACTACTACTACTACTCCTGCTGCTGCTGCTGCTACTACTACTACAACAAAAAACTACCACTACTACTACTACTACTACTGCTACTACTACTACTACCACCACTACTACTACTACTACTACTACTACTCCTACTACGACGAC